ACAAGATGGTGACAGAATGGTTGATCCGAGTGGTCTAACTCAAGTCCTAAAGATGTTATATGGAAACTAGCTTTGAAGATGATGGAGAAGTTTCTGAATTCATTAAACCTTGAGGGCAAGGTTTGTTAAGGAGCGGAGTAATTATGTAGTCTTATTATTTTGCGAGCCCAAATGTAGTGATAGTAATAGTACCCTAATATTGGTAGTCAACTCTCGTGGGTCTTATTTGTTTGTTTTGTTTACTATACGACGTACACTTGGAAACAAGGAAATTAATTAGTTTGAGAAGATTTTACGAGGCCATTTTACACATTCACGGTGATTATATTATTAACGGTTCGGTAATGCACTTCTCTAGTTAAATACAATTATTGTGATTAATTAAAATTTAATCAAATAATTTGGTCACTCCATAATCTTCAAACTCAAAACTTTTTGATATCGTAATATATTAACTTTATTTTTAAAAAAATTAGTGCTTTCAATTTTTGAAACATAACAACTTATTTTACTTAGAAGTTGATTCAAAATGAAAGTTTTGTTATATATATATATATATATATATATATATATATATGTGTGTGTGTGTATGTGTGTGTGTGTGCAAATATGATATTACTATATTTTAAGATAATACGATAAATATTAGAGTAACATAAATAAAACTATCAATAGAATTACATGCTATCTCAATAAAAATTTCAATCGGCATGATACAAGTTACGCATTAGAGGCTACATCTATTTTACCATTGCACTAATAGTTATAGATGTTCTTCAAATTTTTTATTTTCATCTTAATAGCAACTTTCGTTCTTTTTCATCTAAAATTCATCTCTTTATATTTAATTTATATTTTAATCTCATTCCTCCGTAAATTTTTTACTAACAATGTTAGTTTTTTTAAAAAAAAAATTCTCATCTTTCTACTCTATTTTATAATATTAATCTCTTTTTAAAACTTTTTGAATGATATTTATAATTTTATAATACCTCAAAAGACTTCATTATAATTTACATATTTTAATTTTATAAATTTCTTAATTTGACTTAAAAGTGAGAATATAAATTTTGTTATAAATTTTAGCCAAATTAATAAATATGTTAATATTGGGCTCATCACTAATAAAAAAAATTATTTTCTCACTTTGAGTCAAATTGAAAATTTGTAAAATTAAAATAAGTAAATTATAATAGACCCATTTGAGATATTGAAAAATTTAAATAGTATTCAAAAATTTATCAAAAACTCGCTTTACAATTAAAAATATATATATAAATATTTTATTTTATAATCAAAATTCATTTACTATCGTAGAGATAAATTTAAATCTATAAAACATATTTTAGATAAAAAAATATTTTTATTTTCAACTTTTTAATCCCAAAAAAAAAAAAGTAATTATTTGAATGGCGTGTTAACAATTTAAGTCCATTAACTCTGTCATTCAAATTCAAGCGCATAAAAAAATTAATAATTTGAATGACGGGTTAATATGGGTAAATTTTTCTCTACAATAGTATGCAAATTTTTTAAAACTTATTTGTTAAAATTTAGTAAAAAAAAAGATGAAGACAAACAAATAGAGTAGAATGATGAGATTAAGATAGAAAAAAAGTTACTACCATTAGTTCAAAAGAAATTAGAGGTTGAGATTAAAACAGAAATTAAAAATAAAAAAAAATGAACTAAAAAAAAAGAGACGTGATAAATAAAAAATAAAAAATAAAAAACTCATGCCAATTAACCACTAACCATTTCTACTGTTATTATATAGATATGTTAATCTCTCTCATGTCCTTCGTCTTCTTACGTTTACACTACACTTGGTTTTAATTAGGATAAGTGCCTAAAGAGTCATGCCTAAGACACACCTCAATGAATGGGCTTTTAACAACACTTAGGGGTGTTCGTTCGGTAATTCGATTCGGTTTCGAAATTTTTTGATCGATTTTCGATTAATCGAATTGTTCAAAAAAATAACTCGGAATCGAATTGAATTATTATTCAATTTTCGGTTCGATTTTGAAATATATCGATTTTTTTATTCAATAATTCAGTTTTCACTCGTAATTAATACTCAATATCATATATTGATTCCGTCAATAACATAATTAGAATTGCATCAATTTCATGATATCAACATTCACTCAAAGATCAACCTTTTTAATGATAAGTCAAGAACCCATGGACCCCATCTAAATTTCAAGTAGGCTACAATGCTACATCACTATTCTCTACACTTCAATAATGAAAAGCAAGAATGTCAAACAACAATTCAATTTCAAGTATTCAACAAAATAAAAATTTAAAAATAATAATTCAAGTATTCAATATTCCCAAATTACCGGGTAACATCAATAATTTAACAAAATAAAAGCAACAAACCAACAACAAGAAAGTAGCAACAAGAAGCCAACAATACAAAACTAAGTCACTAATAACTTGCCAAGTAAAATAATTCAAAAAAACTCCCATAAGTCATAACCACCACAATCCACAACCATAAATAGACAAGTTCAAGCAAAAAGTTCAACAAATGATAAATCCTACAAAGAAAAGAAAAAAAAATGTCAATTCTATAAAATATAAAGACATTTACAAATATACATGGACACACACAAAGATAATTCATTAGAAATTTACTCATTTCACTCAAAAGATCAAACCATCATCCATTCATCATATATCTATCATAGGTGCATCCGTTGAAAGTTTTAATAAATCTGAAAAAAAAAATCAACACTTTAAGTCTTTAATATTAATTTGGAAAGAAAAAAGACAAATGAAAATATAAGAATTGAGAAACTTACCGATTTCAAGTTTCTCAACATCTTGTAAATCTTTTTCAGTAGTAATTGGCATCAAATTTTGAAGCTAATCTTGAGCATATACAAGAGCTTGCACAATGCTAGGAGTTAAAGAACTCCTAAAGGCATCGACAACTCTTCCTCCGGTGCTAAATGCCAATTCGAAGGAACGATAGATATTGGAATCACCAACACATCACGAGCCATTTGTGAAAGGATAGGAAATCGAAGAGAATTATTTTCTCACCACTCCAAAATATCAAAATTTTCATCCTCAATTTCGACAGATTTACGAAGATACTTATCCAACTCGATCTTTTATCTCCATCTTGACTTTCATTGAATTTTTAAAATCACGACATCCTTGCAAGTGTCTTGTTTTTTTTCTTCATAGCATCCATTACATCACTTATAGTTGAAACTTTCATAATCCCACTACTTTGACCACTAAGACCTTGATTTGGTGATAAATTGCAATATTAAGCATACAAGGCATATGTAGATTCTCTCACATCATTTGTCATCCTTTTTCCAATCCAATCACCATGCAATTCATTTAATGTAAATGCAACATAAACAAGTTTATCTCGTTGGATCAAGCACGGCTCTAATATAAATCAACTTATTCATTTTCTTCATATCCCCCCAATACTTATCAAATTTTCTCTCATTTTACTAGCCATTGAACAAGTATCATCATCGACACACTCTTGCCATTCTCTCAAATCAACTTCAAGCGTACAAATTTCATCAAAATAATTATTAAAAGTGACTATGAATGACCCGTAATGGACAAAGTAAGGTCATGGAAATTTTTCAATATTGTCACCATCTTCCTACAAGTCTTCCAATCTCCGACAATAGGTGGTCCAAATACCCCATCACCAAGATCTACATTAAGTTCAATAGTATATAAATGATCAATTTGCTCGATATCTCTTAAAAGCTCTCTCAAAATTTTGAGCTGAATCTAACATCAAATAAGTTAAATTCCATCTAGTTGAAACATCTAGATGTAATAAGCTTTTGGAATCAATCTTTTCAATCTCTATACATTCCTTAAATTTTCTCAACCTAGCAGGAGATTGTCTAATATACCTCATAGCTACTCGAACATAAAGGATCGAAGAATTTATATTTTTTAACCCATCGAAATAACAAGATTCAAAATATGAGTCATACACCTCATATGAAGTAATTCCCCATCTAAGATGCTATGACCCCAATTATTAAAAACATCTTTCAAATATCTAATCAACATATCATTTGAACTTGCATTGTCTACGGTAATAGAGAAAATCTTTTCAATTCCCCAATCAATCAAACACTTTTCAATAGCACTACCCAAATCAATATCCTTATGACCATCAACCGAACAAAAATTCAGAATCTTTTTGTGCAACTTCTAATCATAATCAATAAAATAAGTCGTTGACACATATAATTAATTCTTTGAATAGATGTCTATGTGTCCGTAGTGAGACAAACTCTTTGATAATTATTTTTTAAAAATTACTTCAATTTTAATTTCTCATACATATAAAGTTGATAGCAATCTCTTGAAATGGTAATCCATGATGGAATTTTGAACCTAGGTTGTGCAATTAACATAAATCACTTAAACCCCACATTCTCTATAAATTTGAAAGGAAGTTCATCCACGACAATCATGTAAGCTAAATTATTTCTAATGCAATTTGATCAAACTTTCATGTGCTTAAGAGTGTTTTCTCCCCTTTGAACAATTGAATTAGATTGAAGGTTCAATTACGGTTGTGTAGGGTCAAGCATATGTGGGTGTTTTTTACATATGGCCATATGAGATTTAAGTGCGGTAATACCATTTCTAGTAGGATGAGCAGACAAGTACCTTATGATGTCTTATTTTCATCTTTAAACTTGGTGAAATGGTCCCATACAATCGACCTTGGCCTCATTGCTCTTCTCTTCATCTTTGTGTTCAATTGTGTGTTTGATGGAGAGATAGCAACAATTATATCCGCTACTAGGCACAGTTCCGGATGCGTTAAACACGTAATTTCGGGATCAACATCCGAGGATCCAACATCTACACAAATTCAAGAATATATTTGATTAGAATTTATTATTAAATACAAGTCTATAGACTATAATTATTAAAAGTTTTAAAGTTAAAACAATAGGTAGTGTCCACTAGCTAGTCGCGAGCCGATGGCCTATGCCCGCAGCTATAGGCTTGTGGGCAATGGCCGAGCGATGCCGTCAGCTATTGTCGGGTCGGTGGCCGGTGACCATTTGTTGTTAGAGTGCTAGCCGACTAGCCTAAACTCCTATTAGCTATTACAACACAAATCACACAATTCACAATTGTTTCAACTTCTATAGTTCTACTAGCCACTAGTTCAAGTTTCAACCATAACCATAAGTCCATAACATTTAACACTTAAGTTTTAACGGAACAAAGATAAAGCATTAACGAGTAGATAGAGCGAGATAGAGAATCGAGTATGGTTACTTAATTGAAGAGTGTGAGTAAATCGGGAGAGCGGAGAGGAGGTTCGATTTTCCTCATCTGTGATTTGCGATTTGAAATTAGGAATTTGAGGGTGATTTTAGGTTTGGAGTTTGGACTTCGATCTTTGAATTTTTGTGTGGCCATATGGTGCGAGGGAGATTTTAGGTTTAGGTAAAGCCGTAAGGGAGTGAGTCTGTGATTGTGAGGGGCGAGGGCCGAGGGTCGTGAGGCCGAGGTAAGGCCGTGAGAGTGACTAGGCTCGGGTGAGGTGTGACTCTGTCGTGATGGGCTAAGGGTGTGACGTCCGACCGTCTAAGGGTGAGGAGCAGAGGTCGGAAGAGACCTGGAGAGGATTGAGGAGATCAAGTAGGAACAAGGAAATGAGGGAGTGAGGTTTGAGGAGGAAGTGAGGAAGACGAAGAGCTAAAGAGGAACAACACTCATTTTAGGTTTGTGAATTCGGAAAGGAGTGAAACAATGTTGTTTCACTCATGAGTTTTTAAAAAAAAAAATTAATAATTCGGTTATTCGGTGAACCAGTTTTTTAAAAAATAAAATCAAAATCAAAATCAAAAATTGATTATATATTGGTTTGGTCTTTTCTAAAATTTAAAAAAAAAAAACTATATCGAAATTGATATTTAGATACGATTTGGTTTGATTTTTTGGTTTTCATGAAATATTGAAAATCTCTACCAACACTGGCCATCCTAAACTGCCATGCGGCTTCACTCGAACATTATTTATTTATTTATACAGTAAGGCCTGGCCTGAGTAAAAGGGATTCTTTCTATTTGAAGGATGTTAATAAATTTTGATACATCTCGAAGTCAGACCTTCTGTCAAGTGGGTCATCAATTGGACATGGCTTCCTAAAATCTATACTTCACACTTCCCCACCTCTTTCTCCTTCTGGCTCTGCTAAGATGCTCAAGGTATGGAAATGGTACCAGCACTGCTTATCCTCTCATCCAGTGAAGACCCAAATTGTCAGCTCTGGATTCCTTTGGGGCGTCGGTGACATTGGTGCTCAATACATCACTCACTCTACCTCTATCAACCGTCTTCAAAAATCTGTAACTTTTCTTATATTGTTTTTTCAATTGGGTTTCCTGGATTTTTCTTTTCTCGATTGAAATTTACTTGCTTTGATTTGTCAACTGGCTATCTATCTGTGAATTATGTTCTTTTAACCTATATCTACTTTGTTTATGGATTCTTAAAACACTGAGGTATTTGAGGAGATTGCTCTTGCTATGAGAACTTGTGTCCACTTGATGATCTTGGAATCTCCTTTGTTACTTTGTTGGTCCTTGCTTTATCAGCTTTGGTTTTATGAATGTAGCTGCTTGACTATTTTGATTGGACCTCTACTGTCAGCTTTTGTTTGTTTTTTATTTCAAGAATGTGGAAAGGTTTCTCCTTTATTCCAAATGAAACGTTCCAATGAAGCCTTCTTCTTTCAGATGGAATTTATTCAGGTTAATATGGGTGTGTCAGTACCACAATTGATATTTGGTGATAATACTGTGTTGTATCATGTCTTCTATTTCTATAATGGCCATAATCTACATGTTTTTCACTATCTAAATTAATGCGATTTTAGTAAAGGAGCACCATTATTCAATAGTGCTATGGGACTTGATGCTTTGAAGGATTTCAAAAATAGTAGCTTCAATGATAGTAGCTCCCATGCCATTGCCCTGTAATGGCAGCATTTCAATGCTGGAAATTTCAGGGAACTTTTGATTAAAGGGGAGGCTCAGTTCCCTATGACATTAAAATTCACTCCAATAGCTCCCTCCAAAAGTGGGATTTATAAAGCAAGCATCCTGTTGTGTAGGTCTTCTTTTTTATAATCATGAAGGTTACTTTTGTTTCCTATGATGAACCCAAATCAAATTCCACTATTTCTATGATTGGAAAATGAAAGTTAGATGGTTACATTTGAACACAATGATGTTCATGTTCATTTGCAGTTAGTTAGTTTGCTTGTTAGTCAAAGAATTATTTCTACTTTGTTAGGGTGAGTTTCAGTAGTATTTCAAGATGAGTCATAACTCAACTAAGTAAAGGTAAAACTAACACCATTTATTGTGTGTGTGTCCGTGCTTGTGTTTTCCGTGCCTCCTTTAGACTTATTCTTTGGATTAACCTATCCATGAAATTTAAGCTCATGCCATCTTTTTTTTGCCAGCCAATTTCTTAATGGAAAAATGCATTCTTCTGCCTGGGTTTCAATGAGAAGAGCCCAACAAGGCGATCTTCCCTTTTGCTTCCAATTTATATATAACTAAGCTCCATATCCCATGGAAATAACATTCCAGATGAGGTTATGCTTGGAAGTCTGCATTGAGAACCTAATTCATCTTGGATAATAAATATATCTTAGATAACAATATTTTCATTTATCTCCCTCTTCTTTAAGTTGTAATTGAGCTGAATGGTGCAACGGGATCTGTGTAGTCGGCCCTAGCTGGTTTGGGGTTGAGGCTTACTGGTTGTTGTTGATCACTGTTTCATTCAAGGAAAGTTTCACTTTCTTTTTTTAAATGTTACATTCTGTTGCATTATTTTCTAGCTTGGAATATCAATAACCAACCACAATATGTGAAGAAACAATAACTGCATGCCTGAACATCTTCAATTCTAGTTAGTGACATGAGTAAATATGTCAAACCCTGGCTTCAGATGTTCTGATAAATCTGACCATAGGATTTAAAATTAAAATTGATCAAGTCAAGATCTTGATTGAAGGAAATGTTGATCATACGTATTTCGTTTCTAAACTTCTAATTTCTATACCAATTATGTTTAAAGTATCTTTTGGTTTCAATCGATAATTTTCAAAACTATAATTATGGTTTCCAAATTTAACCGAATTATCATTAGTTCTGAAGTTATTTAAATGTTTATATGCATGTGTGTGTGTTTGTGTTGCAATCATTTCCTTGAACTGACTATATTCTTTGTTTCATGTAGCAGAATGTAGATCCAGAATTAAAAATCAATTGGAAACGTGTAGCTATCACAAGCATGTTTGGCTTTGCCTTTGTTGGTCCTGTTGGCCATTTCTGGTTCGCCCTTGTTATCTTAATATTTCCTTTTGGTCATTTAGTCTGATCTTTTCGAGCTACTTCATAGTTATTCAGCAACCAAAGACAGCCTTGAGCATTCATGTCATGATAAATGGTTTCACACTGGAACTAGGTTGACTTTAAATAGTATAGAGATGAAAAATGTTATTCAATCCATGCACAAGTATTACAGGATCGCATCTTGTATCTTACATGTATGAAACTTTTTCCCCAGGTATGAAGGCTTAGACAAGTTTATAAGGCTGAGACTTCAACTGCAACCAAAGTCAGTTAGATTTGTTGCAACTAAAGTAGCTGCTGATGGTATAATTTTTGGCCCCTTCGATTTGTTTGTGTTCTTCACCTACATGGGCTTTTCCACCGGCAAGAACGTTGCCCAAGTGAAGGAAGATGTGAAGAGGGACTTCCTCCCAGCCTTGATTTTGGAGGGTGGTGTGTGGCCAATAGTTCAAGTTGCAAATTTCCGATATGTGCCTGTCAGGTACCAACTTCTCTATGTTAATGTGTTCTGTTTGTTAGACAGTGCTTTCTTATCATGGATCGAGCAACAAAAAGACGCTCCATGGAAGCAGTGGTTCACATCTTTTCAGACCTTGAAGGAACGTGGAGGTGAGGTCTGATTATGATGTCCTATTCCCCTCCTTGTATCATCCCTCTTCAGTGCTCATATTGGCAAGTTGCAACAATATATCTGTAACATCGAAAAAGAATCACTCAACCAGAGTGTTTAGGGAATTTTAGAAGTTAGGATTTTGGTACTAGCTCAATTGTATGTAATTGTGAGTGTTGGATCAATTTATTCCCCTAATGCAATGGAAACACAGAACTATGCCCCAGTTTTAGTAGGGCATTTTTTCAGATCTTTCAACTGCCGGCAACTGTTGTTGTGTTGCCAATATTGGTTCCCAATGATGGAGCTTGTGAAAAAATTTATGATTTGTCAATAATTGGAAGACGCAGCAATTTTCATCAACGCAATATCTTGATTTTAAAAGTGAATATGCAACAATTGTCAAAAGGATTTGATTATGCTAAGTGAATGTTATTGGTTCCCTTTCTAACAAAAGCCAGCTGCAAATCGGTTAGTCTCGCACCACCATCAGCTACATAAATGATGTCATTAATAACCCTCCTCTCGTCCCAACTTCACATTAGTGCCATGACATGCTCATGTTGCCTTCATAACTCACTCTTGAACTATAAACCGAAGGATCGAATGCCTCAAAATTTGATGGCAGATGGTTCTATTATTCAAATCCTCGCCAACTAAAACCGTTATAACATAGTCAGAGGTATGCGTTTATGCAGTAAAATTGGTGATTCTCTTCAGCTGAAACAGATTGAAACAATAGACTAAAAATACAACAGCAGTGGAGCTGCCCATTGAAAACTACTCTCACTGTACTGACATTCTCAAGATTTAAATAAATGAACTGTGACCTCCCCCAAGTGGCACTCTTGGCTTAAATTCGCAAGACACCATCAAACAAGGGCAATGCTTGAAGCCAATACTCTGAAACAACAAGATTAGTGTTAAAAGGAACGACTGCCAATCATAAACACAACAAGATGTAAGAATTTCTATCAAAAGAAAGATGCAATGATCATAGTACATAATTTAAAAGGAAACATAACAAAAAGAAAAACCCAAAGAAAAGAGTATCGAGCAGATAGATCAATCACATAAATGTCAGTGAAATGCATCAATATGGAGGGAAAATGGAAAAGAGGGGAAATTACTGGGATGCTTAGTAACAGTCCTTGACGATTGACTAGGACTGGGAGGCTTCTTCTAGCAGCAACGGGTATAGACTTCAACATTTCAAGAGCCTTTTGCGCAGATGGCCCCAGATTTTCCAAATGCAGGCTTTTCTTCTCTGTTATTTGCTCCGTTTTAGTAGCTAAAAGAACTTTTTGCTGTTGGAAATGGTCCAAACTTGGGCACTTTGACAACTTTGCAAGATAGAGCCAATCAGATTCCATCATGCGCCGCACCTCAGCAACCTTCTCATGACCAATTCCACAAGAACAGCAATGGCATTGCTGACTTTCCACTCCCAAATCTGTGACTTCGTTGACAGAAACATGGTTGCTCAGTTTCCATGTGATCCAGAACCTGTTCATGAAATAACTTACTTTTCCAGGCTGAAGTAGTTCACTTGCGGATGCACTGGTAGATTCAACCTCCTTTTTTGGCTTGTAGTCAACCGTATCTTCAGCTTTAAGCTTGAAATGTTTGATTTCATCCCTCTGCAGTAAAAGGATGTCCCTATAGGTTGACTCACTGATAATGTTGAGCCTTTTGGCTTCAGTTAGTACTGATTCAGATGTCGCATCCAAAAAATGCACATCTGATGCATCTGGAACAAGATGACTTGAATATGATTTTCCGTCAGCTATAATTTGCTCCAACTCACTTGGGAAATACTGCTTTTGTTCTCCACTAGAAAGCATGTAAATCAATTCCATTTTCAAAGGCAGAGGACAATCAACAGAACAACAAACAAGGATTTTGGTTCCCCTAGACCGAGGAGCTGGACAAAGGTAACATCCAGCAGCTGTAAGGGAGGTCTGCAGGATTGTCAAAAATATTTGTGAACCAACAAAATTACAAATATCAAATATTAATAACAAAATTGGAAGCAGATTCTGAGTTGTAGATAGGTCAACACTCCTTGCATGCAACATAGATATCAAAATATATACATAATCAAGGGTTCTTTCTCTCACGCCTGCCCATTCTGCCATAGAAAATGGGTTCGAGCCCATCAATCTAATATTTAAATGGTTTTATATGAATCCTCTCTTTTCTAGGAGAAATTAGGGGGAAAAAAACACTTAACTGTTTAATAAAGTTACTTTCTCATTCAAAACCTGATGCTGTACTGGGAGGAAGAACAATTTCATTTTCTTGTTTCTCTTAAAGCGATCAGATGGTTGAATTTTAACATGAATTAGAAATCACTAGAATTCTAGAGCAAAGAAAGGAACTACTTCAGCAAAAACCTTACTATGACTTTATACTGAAATATTAAAGCATTATGCCCGAAACCTTTCAGCTTGTTTATATCAATAGATTTTAGATGCAAATGTCTGATTTGAGGAAGAAAAATGTTATAAATATAGTAAGTCAAATATAGAATTGATTCTCATGTAAATATAGTAAGTTAATTATAGGGCTGATTTCTAAGAAGTTAATGATAACTTGATTCTAAGGATTTAGACTGATCCTAGACTTGTATATATGTGTTATACTAATGCATTTCAATGAGAGAAAACATATTGTCCTATTCTCATAATTTTACATGGTATCGAGCTCGTTGCCCTAATTTAATAGCTGCTGTTGTTGCCCTAGTGAGCTATCATTTTTTTTTCTCTTTTTGCTGCTACCTTAATGAGCCGTTGCGACCTTATCGTCCTATTTTCTTCCCTTCCTTTTTAATGGCTGACGGAATAGAGAAGAAAATTGTGATTTCTGATATTGTTACGGTTCATACCGCAAACTTTGCAGCCCAAGAGGCTAGTCCCGCCTCTTCCTCATTTGAAAAGTTTATAATGGTGTACGCTAATGACTTTGCTCGGTTTACTCGGTATCAATCTTCGCTAAAGTCTTCCAATCCGCCTCCAACTATCGGTGATGAGACAAGTAAACCTACTACATGTCTTGTGTCATCCTCTTCTAAATGAGTCATTGATTTAGGTGCTACGGATCACAAGACAGGTAATAAAGATATTCTCTCTTCTTTCGTTTCACACAAAAATCTTCCTAGTGTCACTCTAGCTGATAGGTCAACCACATCTATTATAGGAATTGAAACAACTCTTCCTACATCATCTCTCTCTTTGTCATACTTCTTATGTTTACCCAATTTTTCATTTAATATACTCTCGATCGGTAAAATCACTCGAGCTTCAATTGTTGCGTCTTATTTTTTCCCGACTATTGTCAATTTCAAGATCTTACGTCAAGGAAGATTATTGGTAGAGGATGTGAGTCCGGAAGGCTGAATCATCTTCAACCTATATTACAACCTATATCACGACCTATCGCTTATTCTAGTAGTAGAACACCTCTTGAGTTGCATTGTCGGTTAGGATATCCTTCTTTATTTGTTTTAAAGAAAATGTTTCCTCGATTTGAGAATTTATCTACTTTAAAATGTGATTCATGTCGGTTTGCTAAACACCATCGTGTGTCGTATTTTTCTAGAGTCAATAAACGGGTTATGTCACCCTTTGAGTTAGTTCATTCCGATGTTTGGGTCCTCTTCCAATGACTTCTACATCTAGTTTTTGATATTTTATCACATTTATTGATGACTATTATCGTGCTACTTGGTTATATTTTATGAAAAGTTGATCTGAATTGTTCTCTAGTACTTTTTGTGCTGAAATTTGAACTCAATTTAATGTTTCAGTATGAGTTTTGAGGAGTGATAATGGGACGAGTATTTCTCCGAGTCATTCAATAACTATATGGCACAAAATGGAATTCTTCATCAATCATTATATGTTGACACACCACCTCAAAATGGTGTTGCTTGAACGAAAAAAATAGACATTTACTAGAGGTTGCTAGAGCCCTTCTTTTCCGGATGAAAGTTCCTAAACAATTTTGGGCTGATGCTATGTCTACGGCATGTTTCTTAATCAATCGGTTACCTTGCTCGTTCTTCCCGGTGATACTCCTCATTCCGTTTTATTCCCTTCTCGGTCTTTATTTCCAATTGAACCACGTGTCTTTGGTTGTACGTGTTTTGTTCGTGATGTTAATCCCAAAGTGTTTAAGTTAGATCCAAAATCTCTCAAGTGTGTCTTTTTAGAGTATTCTCATCTTCGAAAGGTTACGGGTGTTATTCTCCTACTTTGGATCGTTATTTAGTTTCGATTGATGTAACATTTTTTTAGACTACTCCATTTTTTCATGAACCTACTACATATAATTGTGAGGAAGAGAAAGATGATATTCTCATATATATTGTGACTACAACTACTGAATTTCATATACCCATTAAGCCACCTATCACTCAAGTTTACGCTCGCCGTACTCATCCACGAGATCTACAACCAAATCAGCACTCACATCCTCTCGCCAACTCCTCCCTCTACGAATCCTAGTCTTGGTCTTCCCATTGCTATTTGTAAAGGTAAAAGGCATTGTTCTCATCCTATCTCTTCATTTGCTTCTTATGATCACTTGTCTCCTTCTTTGCATTGTTTTATTGCTTCGTTAGATTCGGTTTCCGTACCTAAAACATTGCATGAGGCCTTGTCCCATCCTAGTTGGCGGACTGCTATGGAGTAAGAAATGATGACTTTAGATGATAATGGTACTTGGGAATTGATTCATCTCCCAAAAGGTAAACGAGGCTATTGGTTGTAAATGGGTGTATGTTGTCAAGGTTAATCCCGATGGTTCTATGGCTCGTCTCACAGCTTGATTAGTTGCAAAAGGGTATGCTCGGACATATGGTGTAGATTATTCTGATACTTTTTCTCCGGTTGCCAAACTTACATATGTCCGTTTGTTTATCACTCTAGCTGCTACTAATAGTTGGCTCTTACATCGGTTAGATGTCAAGAATGCTTTTCTCCATGGTAATTTGCAAGAGAAAGTCTATATGGAGCAACCATCTAGGTTTGTTGCTCAAGGGGAGTAGGGGAAAGTCTCGTAAACTTCGGAGGTCTTTGAATGGGTTAAAACAAAGTTCTCATGCTTGGTTTGGGCAACTCGGTTGTAACACCCGCGAAAATCCTGAACCATAAAATGACACATTACGGAATATTTATCTCTACATATATCATTCTCGTTACACCATGAGAAACTAATGCTTGAAATGTATAATTCATGTTAAATTAAATTTATTGTGCTTAAGATCAATGATTTAACTATTAAAGAAATCAAATATGCAAAATTAGTATTTTAAGGACTAAATTCTTTCCGAAATTTTAGGTGATTTATTGGAGGACTTTAGAGTGATTTTTGGATAAAATTTAAAGAATAAAAGTTGTTTGTCTAGGTGTCTACTAGCTCTTTATAAAATTTCATGATTTTTAGATAAATATAGAAAGAGTTATGTCCATTTTTAGTACAAGCTGGTCCCGAGGCATCACTGCTGGAATATTTTGGGGAAAGGAATTTTCGAATTTTAGAGGGAAAATTTCCGAAATTTAATGAAAGAAAAATATGTTTAGTTACTTGAACCAAGTTAGTTAGGAGGTTTAATTAGCTTAAGTATGTAGTTGGACACCTAAGCTATGCATTAAATGAATTCATGGCCAACTCACCCAAAATTGCCGACCAAACCAGCCAGACTCTTCCCCATGACTCACCACTTGCTTTCCACCTTGCCTAATTAATTCAAGCCACATGTATAGCTATTGAATGCAAGGAAAAAGGGAGTGTATATACATATTGAAAGGATGAAACTCGGTCATTTTCTTTAGCAAACCGTTGCTCACTCAAAGGAAAGAAAGAAAAGAGAGAACCAATTGTGAAAAAAGGGAGAGAAAATCACAACAAGGAAAGGGGGAAAAAGGAAAAGAAAGGAAGGAAAGAAAAAGGGGAAAAGCTAAGGAAAAGTCCTAATCTATATAAGTAGGTTTATTTTCACGCCTTTAGTTCTCTTTTTAAGGTGTTTAAGATGTGTGTTGGTTGTATTATTTGTTGTATTGTAAGTGGGTTTTCTTTATTACTTTATGTCATGCAATTGATGTTATTGTCAATGGTTAAGCTTGTGTTTTATGTTGTTATGTTTGTTGGCTTGATTATGTTGGTTAGGTTGTTCCATGATTGATAGTTGCTATGGTTTGATTGTGATGATTAGTTGTGTGATTATTTGTTAAGTGTGGGAAGTTGGTATTTAGTTAAATCCATATATGGATGAGTGTAGCTAATAGATTTGGTTGACCTAAACATGGTGGGTAAAAGTGGGACTTGTATGGACTTTTGAATAAACATGAAGTAGGAAGGAAAGAAAAATGAAATTTTACGTGAATCAAATTTCGGGCGAGAGAGTTACACGGCCTCTCACATGGGCGTGTCCTTACCCGTGTGATAAAAAAATGTATTTTTCTTTAAGTCGGAGAATTACATAACTTCCCACACGGGCGTGTCTTTGCCCATGTAATGAAGAAATGTGTTTTCTTCAAGGTAGAGACTTACACGGCCTCCCACACGGGTGTGTCCTTGCCCATGTAATGAAGAAATATGTTTTCCTTGAAGTCAAAGCGTTACACGACCTCTCACACGGTCGTGTCCTTGCCCATGTGATGAAGAAATGTGTTTTTCTTGAAGTCGAGAGTTACACGGCCTCCCACACGGACGTGTCCTTGCCCATGTGATGAAGAAATGTGTTTTGCTTAAAGTCGAGAGTTACACGGCTTACCACACGGGCGTGTCTTTTCCCATGTGATGAAGAAATGTGTTTTCTTCAAGGCGAGAGTTACACGGCCTCTCACACGGGTGTCTCGCCCGTGTAATTCACCGATCCCTTAAAAGTCACTTTTTTTGTTCCATACTTGCTCGGTTTCCATTCCTTTTACCAAGAAAACGTAATAAATGGTTAATTAGGCTCAAATAGATAGAAAATGAAGGTAGAAAAGTATACCTTAACATATTTAAAATTTGATGTAAATACGAATAATTATGTAATTCAAGAATACAATGACTTAACGATTTAAGTTACTACGGAAAAGAAAAGGAAAGTATTTGCACACATAATTAGACCCATGACTCAACCAATACCATATGTTGGTATTTCATTTTAACGAAAGGAACATGATGATAAGGGTATGAGTATGCCCAAAACCCCGTGTGGGTTGGATTATGAAATCCCGTGTGGATTGAAGGAATGAAAGTGTAAAGTATAATATCCATGATTGATTGAATGTAATGAATGAGCATCACGTGCATCATATGCATTCGGGGGTGGATTGAAATAAGAAAAATGATTAAATTGAGATAGATGAGGTTTGGTAACCGAACCGAATTAAATGTGCATGACTACTATGGATAATTCCGCCACCAAGGCTACAACGAGGGATAATCTCGTTGCTAGCGATAGGTGATTGCCGAGGTTATTCGACAACCACCGAGGAATGAAAGTAAATGAATGCCGAGGTTATTCGACGATGAATGAATGCCGAGGTTATTCGACAATAGGTTATTGCTAAGGCTATTCGGCAGTCATCGAGAATAAAATAAACTTACTAATACCCGTGGTACCCAAAATTAAAATGTGATAAGAAAAAATGAGAAAGTCGGGTAGCATTGCTTATTACGTGCATCACCCTACTTACCGAGCTTTGGCTCATTCTATTTTGTTGCATCCTTTTTAGCAGGAAAGGACAACAATAGTTTGATCGACGACGTTGCTGGTTCCTCCCAAAAAGGAGCTCATGTGTGACACAGGAAAATAGTGAAATCTATTTTGTTTGTATTTTGGGGGTCTCGATGTCTATAGGCGGTTAAATGGCATCTTCAAATACTATGAAATTTTCCGTAGTTGTATTCACCGATGTTATGTAAACTTTATTTTACACGTTTTAATATGTATAATGTTATTTATTTTTGAGTTTAAGTCGGGATTAGATCGTGTCGGCGTGACGCGCTCCTTACCCGGCCACTCCTATTCGGCAATAAGAGAGTGAGCTGTAGTGAGTGATCACATCGGTGTTGTAGTTCAAGAATTTGATCCGAAAAAGAGTACTTGTGACCATACCGTTTTCTACCAACGGTCGAAAACTAGTATTATCTTATTAATTGTATATGTTGATGATATTGTGATTACTCGGTAGTGATGATGCTAGTATTTTAGCCATTAAGTCTTTTCTTCATACCAAATTCCAAACAAAAGACTCGGGTTTATTGAAGTATTTCTAGGGTATTGAAGTTACCGAGTCCAAGAAGGGTATTTTTCTTTCTCAACGAAAGTATATTCTTGATCTATTGAAAGAAACTAAAAAATTAGGAGCTAAACCTTCTAGCATACCAATGGCTACTAATCTACATCTTACAACGGATGATGGGGAGTTATTTGCTGATTCCGAGAGATATCGTAGGTTAGTTGAAAAACTAAATTATCTCACAGTAACTCGTCCTAACATCGCATATCATGTCGGCATTGTGAGTCGGTTTATGTCCTTTCCTTGAGTTACTCATTGGGCGGCATTAGAACGGATCTTATGTTATTTCAAAGGGACTTCAAGGCGTGGTTTACTCTATAGTAATTATGATCGTTCCAATATTGAGTGTTTCTCGGATGTAGATTGGGCTGGATCTAAGATTGACGGAAGATCTACTACAAGGTATTGTGTCTTTATTGGTGGAAATTTGGTGTCATGGAAAAGCAAGAAGCAAAATGTTGTGTCTCGATCTAATGCAAAATCGAAGTATAGAGCAATGGCCCAATCAACGTGTGAACTTGTATGGATATCTCAATTGTTAAATAAGATTGGTCTTGAAAATCCTCTTCCTATGAAATTGTTGTGTAACAATCAAGTCGCTCTTCATATCGCATCAAATCCAGTTTTTCATGAAAGAACTAAGCACATCGAGATCAATTGTCACTTTATCCGTGAGAAAATTCAACAAAGATTGATCTCTACAAGTCATATCGAACCGGAGAACAACTAGGTGATATCTTCACCAAAGCCTTAGGGGGTCCTAGGATTGATTATATTTGTAACATGCTGGGCATGATTAACAATTATACTCCAGCTTGAGGGGTAGTGTTGTAAATATAGTAAGTCAAATATAGAATTGATTCTCATGTAAATATAATAAGTTAGTTATAGGGCTAATTTCTAGGAAGTTAATGATAGCTTGATCTTAGGGATTTAGACTGATCCTAGACTTGTATATATATGTGTTATACTCATGCACTTCAATGAGAGAAAACATATTGCCCTATTCTCATATTTTTACAAAAAATATAAAAGAAAAGACCAGTACTTCTGCAAATGTGACAGAACCAAGCCAATAGAAAATTACATAATAAAAGCAAGTGCAAGAGTGCAGAAACTAACAGTACCTTGCATGGGACAGTCCGAATGTAGTGTAACAACAATTTTGAAGTACTTCCTCTAACTGGCCTGTTCCTTTGAGAAACATACTGAAAAATTCAGATAAAAAGCGTTAAAATGAGCATCCAAACAGTGTTAGATCATAAAAGTCCATAAGGAAAATGATTAAGGTGTAAAAAAGCCTAGAAGATTAGTTATACCTGCAAGATTAATGCAACAAACTTTGACAGGCATATATCCGCAACTTCTGATGGATTAAGAATCTCTAAATCAAGGATGGCATACCCATGCTGCCGAAACAATAATTGCAATGCCCCAACCACACCAAAGAAAAAGAGGTAAGCTGAATTGTGAATCATTTTATAACTGAAATGAAACTTCCAACAAAATTCTGCAAAAATATATTTAAGCTGATGTAAAATTACGAATTAAAGATATTGAAAGGTGTCCAATGTTTAAAGCATACTTACATCTACAATGGTCACAGCCTGATTTATCAAATTATAACAAATTTTGTCAACATATGCACGTGTTCTTCGACAGGCAGAAATGACACCTTGTAGTTCAGACTGGAAGATATCTGAAAAGTAAAAGCTAGTTGTTTGAGAAGATCAAGTTTGTGGTTGAACAGAGAACAGCCAAGAAAATGCACATAGCATCACTGTGACTTTAGCTAATATTGCAAAGCACAGATAGACTCAATCTTTCACTGTTCTTCGAGGGAAAGCAATTATATAATAAGGAAAAATCTAAAATCTAGATAACATCAATGCTGTATATGGCAAAATCCTATCCAACTATGGAATGTCAAAATCTACAACCCACGTGATGACAGATTTCCTAATGACATTCGAATCCTATTCCGAGCATATAAAGTGCTTCGATTTGAAGGGTCTTCCACCCAGTCCTGGTCAGACACTTGGCATATCTGAAAAGTAGAGAATAGGTTAATGGCAATAAAATGTACAAGGAAAAGAATAGCATCATAAGAAAATATTTACCATAAAACAAAGGATTAATCATTTTCCACAACATGCATTCTTTCGCACAGACCTTGTACATATCTTCTTTAGAAAAATGCAAGAGCGGTCTCACTATTAGGATCCCTTTATTCTTGGAACCTTCACAGTAAAAATGGGTGCTTTTGGAGAACATTTGAGAAGTAAATGCCATGCCAGCAAGTCCAAGCACACCACTATTCCGAGATAGTCTAAGAATGAACAACTCAGCCTGCATTTCTCATTACTCAGTATATTTCTGGAGTTTGTAAAAAGCATTCTAGTTAGAAACAACTAGAAGATGCATCAATAACACAATCATTACCATTATCTTATGATTACTTTCCAATTTTGACTTGACTATCAACTACATTCTACATGCAATTCACACAGATGCATGTATGTCAAGATAAACAGACGTGTGGAAAAAGAGTTAACTAGCAAAGGTCCAAACCTGGTCATCTGCATGATGTGCAATAAGCAACACTTCAATCTGATGTTTAGTGCAAATATTTTGGAATATTTCATACCTGAAGTTCAAGCAAAAGTACAAATAAATCAGAAATTGTCAATATCCATACCCCTAAGTTACGGTCCCTAACTTCAAATGAAAATAAACTAACCTCATTTCCCGAGCCTCTTCTTGCAAGTGACCTTGTTTAGGCTTCCCATCCAACCAACTACACTTTGCAATCTCACATCTGATTCCTAAACTAAGTTTGTGTTAGAAGTCACAAACTCAAACATGTAGCATGGTACGAGATCAAAATTTGCAAGTATACCCATTTCAGAAACTCGACTAGAAACAATTTGTGCTTCCTCATTGCTCTCTGCTCGTAGCCCATGATCAACAATTATCCCCAAAACCCCATCAATAAAACCATCATCACTTTTGCCAACAGCATTAGCATTAGCACCATCAGTTTTCCAACCAGCAGTTAGGACACAGAGTGCTATGCTATCAGGGCCACCTGATACTCCTATAGCTGAAAATTGAAACAAACAAAAACACCAATCTTTTTTTTTATAAGTTTCAGCATATAAGCATGGCTTTAAAAAGATTCCAGCAAAAGAAGAAAGAGATTTTAAATCTTCTACTTTTATTTTGACATAAAAGAAGCAAATGTTTGAAATGTTGCACAAGCCATATACCTATTTTGACATACGGAAGCCAAATTATATATATATAGACACACACAACGCACTTTGACATTGATTTTTTTGTTGATATATATAAATATCAAAAAAAAAAAAAAAAGCAAATTTAAAGTAGCAAATAATTTAGCAATTGAGGTTTTTTTTTACATTGAAAACCCAAGATAGAAAAGGTACAAAAGGGGAAGTAAAGTAAGTACTGACCTATACGGTGGTGAGGCTCGAGTCCAGCCATAGCCATTCGCTGAGAGAAAGACCGTTCGTATTTGGTCATGACGATTGGGTCATGGGAAACTGAACATTTGCAGCAAAAAATACGAAAGGGAGGCACATGGAGACGATAAGGAAGAGGGGTTTTGCATTTGGGTTTTGAAAGTGAAAGTCTTGTTATGAAGGAGGTGGTGGTGGCTCTGGTTTGCGTTGTGAGGATGAGCCCTCTCGCCATCTGAGACTATCACGCTTTTCGGCCTTTCCTGGTGATTAGTGATTACTATTACACTTTTTACTACTTTTTGGAGAGGGATAAGTATAAATTCATCCCCAACTTATTGGGGATTCCACAAATCGGTCTTCAATCTATTGTTGTTTCCTCAAACCTTCTCCAATTTATCACCACAATAACCCGTTAGTTCCCTCCGTTTAAAACCCCATTAGAGATATTATTAAAAGCATACGTTAACATCACGTGCTTTGGTTTGATAAAGGAAAAAAACGCTAAACATGTTATTTTGTATGGTGTGTTTTCACCAATTCGTCCAAAACTCTTGTGTTGTAATTTAGTCAATCGAGTATATATATTTTCAAAATCAACCAATTGAATATAATTTTCTACAATTGAAAATTTATAAAAGCTAATTGATACTTTTTTTCATCACATGATTTTTCAACGTGTGCCGTGGGGTAAGTCACGGAAAAAAAGAGTCGCCACCTAGTTAATCGAAAAAACTAAAAAACCATAAACATACTGGTCCGTAAATATATCTAGATAAGGGATCGATTACATATAAAAAAGATATGACATCATTATCATTCCGTCCTACCTAAGGTAAGTCGCATTGAATGCATGTAAAAATAAAAATCTAGTTTTTATCGTATTATGCTTATATGCCTATTTAGGTGAGTTTATTTGTTAAGATATAAAAACAGAGTAGTTTGGGGGGTTTAGACCAATCCGAGGCCAATACCCCTACTCAAAAGGAAAAGATGGAGAAAATTGAATTTCGACTAATCTTTAGTGAACACGACCTATACTAACAAGTAGGTGAGTTTTTAAAAAATGATAGCCTCTTTATTAAAATGAATAGTGAGTCACTAACAACTTCACTCATACAAGTAGGAAGTCATCAATGACTTCGAGTTATGGATTCAGAAGTTATCAACAATTTCATCATATAAATGCAAAGTTACTAGCAACTTATTTTGCTCGAGCAAAGAGCGAGATAACTAGTTTAGAAGCCATTAACGACTTCATAAAATAAGTGAGAAGCCTTCGACGACTTCGTTTTAGATAAAAAGACAATAAATAAAATAATTTCGAAATCGCTAATAGCTTCGTCACACAAGTGGAAAGTCACCAAAAGCTTCGTTTCATTAATTCAAAATTAAATAAAATTAGTTCGAGAGCCACTAATAGCTCAATCCACATAAGTGAGAAGCTACCGACAGACTTCATTTTGAGCAAACAGAAAACAAATAAAATGACTCCGAAACCACTAGCGACTTCGTCACATAAGTGGGAAGCCATCGACAGGTTTATTTTAAATTAACAAAAGCAAGTAAATTGATTTGAAAAACACTAAGGCTTTTCCACGTAAGTGGAAAGTCACCAATCGTTTGTTTTTAACAAACAAAATGCAAGTAAAATGATGTCAAAATCGTTGATAATTTTATCACATAAGTAAAAAATTACCAATAACTTCATTCTCACTAATAGTTTTAGGAGAAAAATGGCTTTGAGGCTACTCGGTAGCTCCATCCACATAGATAGGAAGTCACTAATGGCCTATTTTTCGATGAATAAAACACATAAAATAATTTCACATAACAACAAATGTGGTAATGATTTCATTCATATTCAAGTAATGCATTTGACGATTCAACTATCCACAAGCATGGCATTTTTATCATTTTCATTTATTATTTGAAATTAAGCTTTATAAATTCAAAAGTTATCCAAAAATTTTCAAGAGGTTCAAGACTTGTTCAAGGATCCGATTAGAAATCAATTCCACTTTTTTCATCCTTGATGATAACTAATTGTTCAATTAATAAAAAAAAACGCAGTTGTTCATGGTAAAATATTGTATGGATCTCGCTAAGATAGTTAAAAGTTACTCCAAAATCAATGTAAAAAGTGAAAGTCATTGTTATCGCCAAAGTTATATGTAAATTTGCCAATGTCTCTAAAAATTTCCAACGTTACTACAACTTAAAGGGACTTGGCAACAAAGAAGTTTATATGTTTTTTCTAGAGTAAGTTGCTTCAATACATTCTCTTGAACTTACACCTACATTTTCTCTAAACCTTGGATAATTTTTTCCATTGAACTCAATTCTTTTTTTCTTCTTATCCAACTTCTTTAATATAGCATATTTTGTAGCTTCGTATCTTTTAAATAATTTTAGGTGGAAGTCTATGAAAAATTTATAAGAATTTCTCCTAAATTTTCCAATTTTCCTAACATTGTTCCTATTTCCCAACCATCCATATTTATAGGTAGGATTGGTTTGACTTTTTTCTTGGTTGGCTCCATCTTCACCCTTCGTTTGGTTTAATTTTTGCCCTTGATCCTTCTTTTAATCTAAGCTCTTCATTTGTTTTAAATCTTAGCCATCCATTCTTTCTTTAATTTTAAGCCTTCCATCTAACCATCTTCTTTTAACCTTAACCATCCATTTGTGCATGCAATTAATACACCCAAATTATTGAGGGGAAAGTGGAGGCAAAAGGAGAGAATAACTCTCCCAAAATTATTTAATTTTTAGTCCCTCAATTTATTAAACTTTCCTTCAATTACTCTTCCATAACCTTTAATTTTTCAATTGATTCTTCTAGACCCTTTCTTTAAGGTTTTCCTAACAACTTTTTACTTCCTAGAGTTCATTAGTAATTTGCTCTTCCTAAAGTTCATTAGTAATTTAATTTAAAAGCTGAAACTTTTAATTTTATGTAATCGAGTCCCTAATTCTATGCAATTAGGTCCCTACTCACATAAATTTTATTTCACAGACTTTTTAAAAATTAATTTCTTTCCATAATAAATTCAAACATCTCCTATAAGAATTTATTCATCATTCACATAATTTTTATATACCTATTTAAGCTCTCAAATTAATTACTTTGTTTAAAAATACACTTATCTCTATAGAAAATATTCCCTATGCATAAAAAAATTCATCTAAGTTCATGAAATATTCCTACATCTCTTAAGTGATTTGTCTTTGCCCATTAGATAATTTTTAAACACATATGCATTAAAAAATTTAAATAAAATAATTGTTAAGCATCGGAAAATTCGTCCAATGGCATTGAATAATCTAGAGTCCCTCTAGCGAATATTCTATGCAAGCAAACATTTTTTATGCACATTTAAAATGCTCCAAACATTTATTTTGCACAAAAATTACTATTCATGCATAAAAAATCAAATATAATATTCATTCATTATCAAAAAATTATCCTAAATGCAATAAATATTCTATCAACCTCTTTACAATCATTCCATAACAATGAAATAGTTTTCTCACACTTTTAATATATTTTAAATTTATTTAGTAATGATTCGGGGTATTACATGAATAATAAAAAACAACCAAAATACCCTTCTAAAAGTGACGAAACTACCCTTGTGCAAAATGACCAAACAACCTCTATTTACTTTCGAAAGCTATAGAGATTGTTTCGATTACTCTATCAAGCTCAAACTACTAGAGAAGGCCGGTGTAATCTTCCCCTACCCTTCGATGAAGAAAATAACCAAGGTTATCGGTCGAAGAAGAAAGGTTAGTACTCACAGATGAAACTTCTTCTTCTTCCTCCTCATTTACTTGCTTTAGAGAAGTTGAATATTAGTTTAAACTAGCTTAAAACATGCCTTAAACCTTAATAAGTTTTATTTTATACAAGAGGATTGAAGAATTATATGAAGCTAAATCAAAGTATTTTTCCTCCTAAAATCATCCTCATCTACTTAGAGAATATTTTTAGGTTTAAGAGTCTCTAGTGATGGTGTTCAGCCTTGGATGAGGGGTTGTTGAAAGTGATTCATGAATGTTGGCCGTAGCTTACTATTGTTTTGAGGAGGTTTTAGGTTGATGGGTTAACTCGGTAAGGATTTCGGGTTTGTATAGTGGCTAGGGGTCATGGCCATTGGAGAGTGGACGTTGATAGCAAAACCCTTATTTTTTTCTTCCTTCATCAATCGACTCTATCACCAAAAAAAAAAGATGGGAATCAAAGGCGAAAACATGCCAAGAATAAATCCTTAAAACAATAAAAGCTAATTTACTTCATTATGTGGAGATTTCTTGTCGATAAAATAAATAATACAAAAATGGATAATATTTGGGTCGACTAGCCATAGATTTGCTCTTAATGGGTTCAACCTTTCATACTATTTCTCTTCATTGTAAAGGGTTAAAAAAAGTGCTAAGGGTGTTTGGTGAGTGGTTTATGGCTAGTTTTAAAGCTAGATATGATTTGAGGACCCAATATCTAAAAGGAGAAGGTCGATAAGTTCAAAGTTATTGATAGTTTGAAAAAGGAAAGATTGATAAGAAATGACCGACTAGGTTGTTGGAGTGTTCAAGAAGTGGTTATAAGTGGTTTTCTTATTAAACATGGTTAGAAAGGATAGATGTAGCAATAAGACTATAGGTTGTTGAAAATAGGTCAAATTCCTTCTCTTTTCTATTTTGATAAGAGAGTGATAAAATTTAGGTTGTTAAGTCGAGGGATGTAAGTTGGACTTTTAAAGTCTCTTTCATGAGAGAATGGTCGTAACCCCGAAAAGAGAGAAGAAGTGTGGCTTTTATAATGGGGCATTTAGGGTTCGAGGGTTAAAATATAGTTTGGTCTCCCATTTCTTCATTTTTCTTGATTTGGGTCGATGTCTCTTTATTTTCTTTCAATTCTACCTCTAATTATACTTCTTTAGTCCTTTTTCTTTTTATTCTTCTTAGTTCACCCACATTTACTTTTAATTAAGATCTTTGGTTTTTCATCTCTTTCAATTATACCTTAAATTGGATTTTTTTCTATCTTTATTTCTCTCA